GCTGAGCCATCTCTCCAGCCCCCTTTTCTTTCTTTATTTAAAATTATTAATTAATTTATTTTATTTTTTGAGACAGGATTTCTCTGTGTAACAGTCCTAGCTGTCCTGGAACTCACTTTGTAGACCAGGCTGGCCTGGAACTCAAAGAGATCCGCCTGTCTCTGCCTCCCAAGTGCTGGGATTAAAGGCGTGTGCCACCCCCCATCCCCCCACCCCCACTTCTTTCTTTTCTTAAAGGCTTATTTGTTTTATTTTATGTGTATATGAGTACCTGCATGTATGTCATGTACCACATGTGTGCCTGGTGCCCACAGAGGCCAGAAGAGGGCATCCAGTTCCCTAGAACTGGACTTATAGGTGGTTGTGAGTTGACAGGTAGGTGCTGGAAACCAAACCTGGGTCCTCTGCAAGAGCAGTAAGTATGCCACCATGCCTGGCATGGATGGAAGCCATTTTGGTAGGATGGCTGATGGCTGTGGTTCTCACAGCTGTAAATGAAAAGCCCTTATTTTGTCCACCATGCAGTGACACCTTTGTAAGTTGTGCCCTGCTCTATTCAGTTTATTTTGTGTTTCCTGTTAGCAAGTGTTGTCTATACGATTTTCTCAATTGGTTTCATTAAGATAGTTTTTCTAGTGAGGCAACAGTGGTGCATGCCTTTAATTCTAGTACTGGGGAGGTAGAGGCAGGTGAATCTTTGTGAATTTGAGACCAACCTGGTGTACAGAGCAAGTTCCAGGACTGCGGGGCCACACTGAGAAACCCTGTCTTGAAAACAAAACAAAACAACAACAACAACAAAATTTTTAATTAACATGGACCTAAAATGCTAAAGTATCCTCCAGACACTAACATGAGAATACAGGGTGCTTGGAAATTTTAGAATAAAGACTGAATACAGCAGTACATGTCAAGTCTCCATAGTAAGTTCCAGGCCAGCCAAGACTATAAATCATGAGACCCTGTATCCAGAAAGAAACAGAAAAAGAGAAAGGTATTAAGGCAAAGACTCCCCAAGTTACTATTTAGACCTATGGAATCATAATCCAGGGAGGGGCAGAGAGGGGCCTGAAAGCTGCATTTTTGCTTGTTTGTTTATCCATTGCGGTACTGGCGAGGGGATCCAGGCTTTGCACATGCTAGACAGGTGCTCCACCACTGCATCCCGAGAATGAAAGCTGCAAGCATTCCATGCTATTCCAAAGTACATCACGGCTTGGCCTCTGGGTGACTGGATCAGTTACAAGTTAGGCTTACAAGTTAGGATCCTAGTTAGCTAGCTGTCTTCCAACAGTCTGGGTTTTCTTTGCTTCCCGTCCACTGCAGTGCACCGAGTAGCCCTGGCCTGCGGCAGTGAGTTCTTCGGGGCCATGCTTCTGAGTGGGATGAGGGAGTCCCAGGGCACAAAGGTGTCTCTGCGTACCATCTCTTCTCAAGACCTGAGCTTCCTCGTGTCTTTCGCCTACTCTGGAGTTGTACGAGAAAGATGGCCAGGACTGCTAAGAGTCGCCCAGGCTGCGCTGCAGTACCAAAGCTCCTCCTGCCTGGATTTGTGTCAGAGAGCCTTGGCTCAAAACCTCTGCCCCGCCCTTTGCCTGGCTTTGTTTCCTATGGTTGAAGCCCCTGGCTTGGAGAAAGTCTGGGGGAAGGCCCATCATTACCTCCTCACTCATCTGCCTGCTGTGGCTCTGTGCCCTACTTTCCCGGCGTTGCCGGCTACCTGCCTGGCGGAGCTCTTGGACAGTGATGAGCTTCATGTACAAGAGGAGTTCGAGGCTTTCATGGCTGCACGGCGTTGGCTGGCTGCCAACCCCGAGACCCAGGAGTCCGAGGCTAAGGCCCTGCTGCGGTGTGTCCGCTTTGGCCGCATGTCTACCAGAGAGCTGAGAAAGGTGCGGGCAGCTGGGCTCCCCGCTCCTCTGTCTGCCGAGCTACTGCACCAGCTGATGGTAGAAGCTGAGATCCCAGGTCAAGAGAGGTGCAGGGAGCCTGACCAAGCACTGGTGGTGATTGGCGGGGATGGGCTTAGACCTAACATGGACCGAAGACAGCCGTCTTGCAAAGTGTGGTGGGCCCGGGCTTTCCACTGTGGCATGGGTCTGGTACGAACTGTGGAATGGTGCCGGCTGCCTGACCTGCCTGCCCCAGGGCGCTTCCGGCATGGAGCTGCGAGCCTCACAGGAAGTGAGCTCTACGTGTGTGGGGGACAGGATTACTACAGCCACTCCAACACTCTGGCTTCAACTCTCAGGTATCATCCATCAGTGTGTAGCAGGAGGCCCCCGTGTGGGCAAGCAAGAGAAAATGCCAATCCAACCAGCCGTAGGCTCCCAGGGTCAACCCCTTTTTTTGTATCTTGTCCCATTGTGTCCAGGTGGAGCTCCAGTCAAGAAGGCTGGGAGGAAATGGCACCTCTGTGCCAGGCTCGGAGCTTCTTCCCTCTGGTGGTGTTTGACGGACAACTTTATGCCCTGGGTGGACGGGACAATGGTGTTGCCCTGGATTCTGTTGAGACCTATAGCCCTGAACTCAATGTCTGGAGGTAAGCTGGCAAAGGGGCATTAGGGAGAGACTAGATTTGGAACAGGAGAATGAAGCTGGGCATAGGGGCACACACCTGTAATCCTAGCACGTCAGAGGCTAAGGCGGGGAGCCTAGGCTATAATAGCAAGATCAACCTCAAAATAAAATACAATGAAATCAAGTTGAGCATTCCAGGTGCCTGATCTGATATTCTGTTCTCCCTTAGGCCAGCACCAGCTCTTCCGGTACCATGTTTTGCCCACGCGGCTGCAATCCTGGAGGGCCGATTGTATGTAAGCGGCGGCTATAGTGGGACCGGCCAGTTCTTGGACTCACTGATGCTCTATGACCCCAAACTTGAGAAGCCGGAGACACTTTTGAGCCCAATGGGAGTAGCTCGGGCTAGTCACGTGATGGCTGCTCTGGGTGGGAGGTTGTATGTGGCAGGTGGGATAGGAGACACCGGGGACCTCCTGAGCTTTGAGGTCTATGAACCGAAGACTGATAGCTGGACTCACCTGGCACCCTTGCCCTCCTCCCATGTGGGGGCTGCGGGGGCTGTGCTCCAGGGGGAACTACTAATACTGGGGGGGTATAGCCACCGTACTTACGCCATCTCCCACCTTGTCCATGCCTACTGCCCCGGTCTGGACCGCTGGCTGTGCCTGGGAACTCTGCCAAGACCTCGGGCTGAGATGCCTGCCTGCGTCTTGACATTGCCCAGTGTGCGGCACATAGCCTTGGTCCCTACTCAGCACCAAAACAAACCTGCTGGATGATTGAGGACCAGCAGTGTGTGAGGGAGGGAGGGGTAAGAATACCATCACAAAAGGACGGAAATTATGAGAGGATAAAAAAGTTGTACTTGCTGGCTTACTTTTAAAATTTATTATCGTTAGAAACGTTCTTGTTATTGTAGCTCTGGCTGGCCTTGAACGTGATGTGTAGCCTGGGCTGGCCTCAAAGTCCTTGATTGAGAGGTCCGATGATGATTGACAGGGTCTCTTGTATCCGAGGGTGCCTCACAACTCCCTACGTAGTCAAGGATGACCTTGAGCTTTTAATCCTCCTGCCTTCATCTTGAAAGAACTGGGTTCACAGGCATGTACTGCCACACCTGGTTTGTGCCAGAGATCAATGCTCAGCAGGTATGCTACTAGCTTAGCTACTTCCCTAACCCTAAAAGAAGGCTCTGTTCTTTTTTATTTGCTTATTTTGTTTTTAAATTGTTTAATATTTATTTTATATATATATATGAGTGTTTTGTTTGCATGTATAATGTGAACCACGTGCTTATCTGGTGCCTGCAGAGGCCAGAAGAGGGCAGCAGATGCTCTGGAACTGGAATTACAGATGGTTGTGAGCAGCCATTTGGGTGCTGGGAACTGAACCCTGGTCCTCTAGAAGAGCAGCAAGTGTTCTTAACCTCTGATCCATCTCTCCAGCCCCTTATTTTGTGTTTTGAGGCAGTCCTGTTATGTACTGTAGATGAGGATGCTTTATTCTTGTTAGTATTTTACTCCATACTGGAATTTGCAGCTCATAAACTGCTTTTGTGTATATGATCTCTACTAAGGAAAAGGTGGTTCTGGATCTCATGGGAAATGGGCCTGGGGAGAAGGACTGGCAAATATACTCAGGTAAGAGAGGCAACCAGGAAGAACTCCACAAGGATTACTGAGGAATTTTCCATGAAAGAAGTACAGTGAGTTGGGAGCTAAAGATGGAACTCATTGATAGAATGCCTACTTAGCATGGGTTAGGTTCTGGTTCAATACTCTGGCATAAAAAAAAAATTAAAACTACAAAACCCAGACTTCATTAGTCAAAGTATAGGGACCAGGAGAGGACATTGGGACAATTGGGAAATTGATAGAGGAATATGGAAAGAACTAAACTATCTCCCATTTCTTGGCACTTACTCATTTTACTGTCCCATCTCAGCATACCTAAATCCTCCCAACACTATTCTTTCAAGGTACTTTTGTAGACCCATGCTTGGCTCCATGGGCTGCCTGTAGAGTCTTCTGGTTCCCACTGGAAACAGAAATCCCCATGAGGTCTAGACATGGTGGTGCACACTGGGAACCCTGACATTTGAGAGGTGGAAGCGGGAGGACCAAGACTTGAGACTGTCTCAAGAGAACCGGACCTAACTAACAAAGACTGTGAAGGGGAAGTTCCTACCAAGACTTGGACCATGTAGGGACCTGAAGCTGGGGTGAGATGGGAGTATTCATGGGGGGAGGGAGGAGAAAGAGAGGCCAAGGAATGAGTGTTCATGGTGGCAAATGGGAAGTATGAGGTTGAGAAGATGGGGAGAATCCTCTTCAATGTCTTTCCTTCCCTTTGATGAACTCAAGAAACAGGACTAGAGAAAGGACAATTGTGTTAGGTGCTGTGGGGATCAAGAGGGTGGGAGAGCATTGGTGAGGAAGGTGAAGGCCAAGACGACTTGAGAAAGCATTGTCTTCTTGTCAGCCCCTTCCCCTTATATCATGTTGAACTTATTTCCCTCTAATTTTTTTTTAGGTTTTTGTTTGTTTTAGATATGGTCACATATAGCCTAGGCTAGTCTTGACCTCATTGTGTAGCTGAGATGACCTTGAACTTCTGATCTTCCTCCTTCCAACACCAGAGTGCTGGGCTTACAGGTGTGCACCACCATGTTGAACTATATGTCTCTGTTTAAGATAGACAAGTCATACAGTTGAAAATGAAAAAGGTTAAGTACAATGTATAAAAGAGAAAGACTGAAGCAGAGAAGGAAGGAGGAAATTGGGGGATGAACATTTTGCTTGGGATGTGTTCATAAAGATGTCTGTGAATAAAGTTTCATACTGATGAAGTCATTCTTGTCTGAATGTCTCTGCTATAAACAGATTTCAAAGTAAAAGTCCCTGTAATCTGGCTTCTGTGTCAGTATTCTCTGAAACTACCCTCCATTCATTGCTACCAATGGAGCGATCCGTGGCCACTCTCATTTCCCCTCATCTTTCTCCGGGATCTGACTGGCTGAAAACAGAATCTTACCCTGAAACTGTCTCTTCTCTTGGCTCCACAGGTAGCACAACCTCCTAGGTGAGCTTCCCCATCCTTCTCTAACCAAAGGCGGAGAGCCTCCCCAAGGGGATGTGACTTTGTTCAGGTGACGCTGTCAGCGAGGGTTGAAACCTTGGCTTCAGGTTAGAGCATCGACAATGTCCGACCTAGATTGAAAAACTGAGCTGACCCCACAGTTATCCTGACCTCCACTCATGTGCCATAGCACATGCACCGCCCCCCCACCAACACATATCATGCACTCACGCAGATAATAATAAATAATTTTTAAAAGTGGAAACTGCACGGAAAGATTATTTAATATAGTTGTGGAATGGAGGTATTTTGGAGATAACATGATTCAAACATTTTGTTTTCTTTTTAAGATTTATTGTTTGAAATTTTGAAGCATGTATATATTGTCATCAAATCCAGCCCCCATTCTCCTCTATCCCCTCCCATGCTGCCCCACTTTACCCTCCCAATTTCATGTGTTC